CGTTTCACCAGCAACTGAATCCGCGTGAGTGAGAAAGTGTAAGTGTGTGGTAGTGGTGGTGGGCTCGCTTCGTGGAATTGTGGTCGTCCAAGAGGCAGGATGGCTGGCGGTGAGCCAGTTACGCAACGGACACACACGCAGTGGGAAAGTTGAGTAGGGTAGAGCAGAGTAGTAGTGTAGTGGTGGTGGTGACGGTAGTGCTGAAAGAGCGCGCGCGGCGAGGTTGCCTGTGTGACTTCTCGGATTGGCGGCTGCTACTGTGTTTCAGTTCGGTTCTATTTGATGTGTCGATGGGACAACTACTGCGGGTCTGCTCCTGCTGGACAACGCTAATTGGCAAATCGAATTTAAAGAAGTTAGTGGGCAAAGAAGAAAAGAGAGAATGGGGCTCATTTCTCGCCCCTCTTTTGCACTCTTCGGCAATCCACTACTTACCGAAAGCTGATGTTAGTGGTGAAAAAGCGAGCAAAAAGAGAAAGAGAAAGTGCACCAGAAAGAGAGTGACTACTGCTCTTTGGCTTGGCGCAGTGTACTGGTTGTTGTTCGGTGTAAGTGTGTTTGTGCTTGTGTGTATGTTTTCCAGTTGAGTCGAGGTGAGTGTAGATGTACTGTGATTGGGCGACGGAGGGGGCAGAGACAGAAGCTGGTGGTGGTGGTGATGCAAGGCGGCAGAAAGTGCACCGATGGTCTTGTTGTGTATGTGCAAGTGTGTTGTTGTCTGGTAGTGGCAATCCACCCGATAGACCACAATAGTGCTAGAGTTACTGCTGCTGCTGCTACAGTGGCCTGCCTTACCACTTCGACGACGAGGACTTCTTCTTCTTCTTCTACCAGTGTCCTTCTTTGTGGCAGAATAGTGTGAAGCTACTGCCTGACTGAAGGCGCAAGTGACGATGCGGCGGGGATTGTGATGTTGATGCTGAAAATGATGCACGATGATGGACGCCGCGGAGATGACAGTGACTCGGTGGCTTTGTTCTGTGTGTGTACTTGATATGCTAATGTGCAAAAGGGTTGACACTGACCGAATGTGTGTTCAACAGGGCTTATGGCTGTCGCTAATGGCTTTGTTGTTGTTGTTCGAAAAGGGAGGTCAGCAGTTGTTGTTGTTGTTGTGTAGCGTAGTGTCAACCTAGTGGCAGAGTGTTGACAACGGAAGTGGCGATGTCCTCGAGGAAAAAGAGAGAGATTGTTGAGTGTTATAGCAAAGAGAAGGAAGTCAGTTTTCTAGAAGACGATAAAGTGCGAGGGGAGGGGANAGAGAGAGAGAGAGAGATTGTTGAGTGTTATAGCAAAGAGAAGGAAGTCAGTTTTCTAGAAGACGATAAAGTGCGAGGGGAGGGGAGAGAGAGATATGAGGAGGTAGTTAAACAGTAAGCAAGTAAAAACAAAAGTAGGTAAAAACGAGTGACAGTAGTAGTGGTGACGAGCGCTGAAGCTAAATGGCTCACAAATTAGAACTCATCAACAGTATATATGTTGGTGGTGGTGATTAGGATCACTGGTGGTGGTGGTGGTGGTAATGCCGACACTGCTGACCACGCTGTTGTGATCGTTCGGCGTCGACGCTGCGACTGAGACAGCAGAGCAGGACAGGATAGGATAGGCGGAATGAACGAGAGAGAGTGAGAGTGTGAGAGAGGGAGCTGCGCCGCTCGGCGACAGTGAGAACGAGAGAAGGGAGCGCAGTGAGCTGCTGCCGCCGGCATCAAAACAACCGCCTTCTTCTGCTTCTTCTTCGTCTTCGGGGCAACCAGCGGTAGCAGCCAGGCCAAGCCTGGGAAGCAGCAGCAACAGCAGTAGTCCAGGGCAGGCCAAGCAGACAGGAGGCACGTAGTACTGCTCACTCTCGAGGAATGGAGCAGTCACGAGAGTGGGCTAGTACTTTTCGCCCCCACCAACACCACCACCACCACCAGGACCGATCTCCGATTGTTCCGGCCTTTAGTAGTACTATTCTCTCCTACACACTGTAACTCATCATCTTCAGTGCTATGGAATGACTACCGCCGCCGACCTTCGACCAGCGCAGTTTAAAGGCTGCTATTCTGGAAGCGTCGAGAGAGAATGTGTCGGTCTCTGTTTGTCTGTGTGCATTACACTACACGCTCGAGTAAAGCCGAGAATGGACGGGAACATTGTGGAGGGTAGTAGTGAGAGAGAAAGTGTAATCAGCGAAGGCCACCAGTGCCAGCAGCACACGCGTTCTCTCCTCTCCCAATTCAGTGACTGTCTGTCTGTGTGTCGCGCCCTGCATGTCAAGGTCACCAGGGGGTTCCGAATGGGAAATGAAAGCGGCAGTGCAAGTCGTCTAGAGTAGAGGAAAGAGAGGCATCCCATTGATTACACAAGCCTGACTGTGTGCAGTACTGCTGCTGCCTAATCAGTACCTCTCTCCGCTTTCTCTTTCGTTGTTCGCTCTACTGACCAAGTTCCCACCACAAGGACGACCGACCACTAAAGCTGCCCCGTAGGGCAAACTACTAAAGGAATGATACTGGATACCTGCCTTTGCTGGGCGGCGGCACATTCTTTCGATGACTCTCTAGAGGAGGGGGTAGTTTGGTTAGGGTTGATGGCGATAATGTGATGCCTGCTGTCCTGTCCTATGATGATCTCCATGGCAACACACATAGGGCACCCAAGCAACCGCAGCAGCAGCGCCCGTAGGCTGCCTTTCCTTCCCCTCCAACCGGTCTAATTTTGATGATTTTGCTGCTGCTGCTGCTGTTGTTCTGCTCAATACTCCTCTCAATGTGTGCTCATCACTAGAGTCAGTAGAGTGCTTCAGAGTCGTTCCTTCGTGGAAGTGGCCTTCAAAAGGCGCCAGTTGCCTTCACGCACTTGCACTTCTCTCTTCTACCTCTCCAGTCCTCCTGCATCCATCTGCTGCCATTTTCTCTGATCCTTTGCCATCATCATCGACTCACACAGATGAGTTCGCGCGCTCACTCTTTCTGATCACGAGATTTTTGCGCAATGACTCTTTTTCGGTGTGGTGTGGTGAGTGTGTGTGTTGGCCGGTGGACAGCCGCCAGTGTGCTTCTTGCATAGATTTCCTTTTCGTTTTGTTGTCACTTGTGGTGGTGGTCGTTGCTGTTGCTGCTGCCGCCGTTGCTTCGTACGATCAAAGTACTTTTGTCGTTTGAGTGATGAATGTTGGCTGCCAGCGAGGGGAATGAGAAGGAGGAGGGAACTGCTGCAGACGGCCAGGCTCTACTTGACAACAGTGGTTTTTCAAGTCCAAAGGGTGAAAAGCAACAGCAGAAAAAGAGATGCAATAGATGCAGCTGTGGTGATGGTGATGGCAGCCGTCCTGTTCTAGTACACGCAGTAATTGTCAAATGAACGGAAAGAGTGGTGGTGGTAATAATGATGATATTTCAGTCTTCACACGTGTTGTTCTTCAGTTGGGGGCCACGCATCATTGGGCTGTTACAAACAACTCGTGTAAACGATTTAGCAGACAAGTGTTGAAGTTGGAGAATTCCAGTTTCATTGATTAGAAGAGGAAGTAGTTTTTCATTTTGAGGGACCGTTTATGTACAAAACGACAACTGTTGTTTATTAATCCATTTTTTGAATGTTCTTTTTTACTAGTTGTGAATTATTACAATTGCAAAGAGTGAAAAGCGACCTATGCTTTTTACCTAGCGTGTGTGTTTTTGACTCTTTCCTAAAAACGCGTCCACCTTTAGACGGCCACCTTGGTAGCGATTACGTAATACTCGCTGGCGAGCAGGGAAAAGAGCATGAAGGCGTAGGTGTACACTAGGACGCGGTCCTTGAGGCCCTCCTTGAAGTACACTGGCGTGCCATCGGGAATCTGGGGAATGAGGGGGCGTATTTAGTATGTTTTATTCGACAAATAGTTGGTAAATAAAACAGCCACACTGACCTGGTACCAGATGCGCTTCTTCTGCAGCTTCTTGTAGACGTTGGTCTCGTAGAGGCCGTTGGAGGGATCCGGGCAGGGCGGCAGTGCCGAATCGGGAATGTCCTTCCACGACTTCCAGCCGTGAGGATTCACATTGCCGTGGTGGGGCACCGAGGACATGGCTCGAAGGGCGGTCATCTGCAAAAAACAGAAGAATGCAAATGAGAGTTCTCCTTTCAAACCGGTTGCACTTACCTTCACCAGCGTCTGGTTCATGATCGCACGCTTCGCATAGACTGAACGCAACATCAGGCTGGCCATCTTGCAAGAAAAGAGGAGGTGAGGGAGGTTTTAGGATACCAGAAACCAGAAATCGGGTGAAGAGATTAGCAGATGGCCACAAAACAAACTTGTCGTCGTCTCGGTCACAGTGAAGAACTCAAAACAGTGTAAGGTGTTGAGGGGCGCTCATAGACAGCGTGCCGCTGTAGGTTAAATCTCAATGACAATGACGCGGCTTTAGGGGATTCTGGTCAGTGCTGAGCCTTTTATGGTTGCTTTTCTAATTGGAAACGGTAAAAGGTAAAGCTGATGATCAATCGATACCAAAATGGTTGCCAGATAAGCGTTTTCTGAAAGCAAAAAGCGTTCGTTTTCTCAATGCAAACAGTGTGTGTACAAAAAAAATATTTTTTTCTGTTGATAACAGGTTATTGACCGGTGAATCACCCTAAATAAGCTGATAATATGAATTCTATGAATTTTTAGTTATTAGACAGTCATTGATTTGGAAAAGGTATCTGGGATCATCAAGTTTTAATTGCCCAAAAACTGCAGTCTTGCAGTACAATTTAGTCAAACGCTGCACTTTCTAAGGAATCATTGTACGAAAACCAAAAATCTTGTTGTAAAATTAAACATTTTTGTAAAATGCGGTGATTTAAGCTTCTCTCTTATTTTAAATTCAAGAATCTTGATGTAAAAGAATAGAATCCGGGTTTTTTAAAAGTACAACGTCTGTGCAGGACCCATTGTTTTGAAATAAATCACGTGCGTCGGCAAGCGAAAGTTCTGTGTCAAAGAATCTTGCTCATTTTTTGCTTTATCTATTCAAGATTCAAAAATGGACACGGCTAAAGAGGCTGAACCGATTTCAGTAGAGTTTGCAAAAAATGAGGATGACAGCAAACCAAAGATTGACCACTTCGAAAAAGGTAAACGACTCACTGAATCCCACCCAGAAAAAACCCTAATTTCTACTTCTTCCTAAACACATTCATTCAGGATATGCGCCCATCAAGGCAGAGTTCATCGTCAAAGGTGCCGCACCCATAGAGTACGACGAAAAGTACCTCACAAAAACCGAGCACAATGGCAGTGATAAAGCGGCTCCAAAGAGCACTGAAGAGCAGGCTGACAGCGGCGAAAAGAAGCGCCCCAATGAGGAGAACGCGGCGGAAGATAATACTAGCAAAGATGATGGTCACCAGAAGAAGCGGATAAAGGGACAGAACAAACACCGCCGCAACGTCATGTTCAAGGAGAAAAAGGCCAAGGCGGACCCTGACCGGATGCGAATGTGCGTCTCCTTCTGCCGCGACGGCGTCTGCAGTTACGGCGAGCGCTGCACTCTCTCCCACGATGTGGACGCCTTCTTGGCCCAGCGGGAGCCGGACCTGGGCCCGGTCTGCCACAACTTCACCGCCCTGGGCAAGTGCAACTACGGCGTCCTCTGCCGCTTCGGCTCCGCCCACCTCAAGGACGGCAAGGTGAACGTCGTGGATGAGGCAAAGGTGGCCGCACAGCCGCCCACCGGACAGGCGATCAACTTCCTCTCCGGTGACACCAAGTTTCAGCTGCAGAGAAAGCGCTACGACTTCAGCCTGGCCAACGAGGCCGCCAAAGCGGTCACCAGCGGAAAGCTGACGCTGGTAGAGGCCCGAATGACGCCTCGAGCAAGGCCTCTGAAAAATGGCCGCATTGACTTTGCCGGCAAGCTCTACCTGGCGCCGCTGACCACCGTGGGCAACCTGCCCTTCCGGCGCATCTGCAAGGAGTACGGCGCCGACATCACCTGCGGAGAGATGGCCCTCTCCACCAGCCTCCTCGAGGGCAATCCCTCGGAGTGGGCGCTGCTGCGGCGGCATCACACCGAAGACCTCTTTGGTGAGTCTGTTTACTTTCTTTAACACAAATCTAACCACAATTCTCATAGGCGTCCAAATATGTGGCGCCCACGCCGACCAGCTGGCCCGCGCGGCGCAGCTCATCACCGAGCACTGCTCCGTCGACTTCATCGACCTAAACATGGGCTGCCCCATTGACCTGGTCTTCCGCAAGGGCGCCGGCTCGGCGCTGATGGACCGTCGCAAGCGCCTCGAGGAGATCATCTACTCGGTGGGCGCCGTCACCGACGTCCCGCTCACGCTGAAGATGCGCACCGGCGTCTACGAGCGCAAGGCGATCGCCCGGAACGTCATCAGTGCCGTCCGCGAGTGGTCCGACGCTTCGGACCGCATCGGCCTGATCACCATTCACGGGCGCTCACGGGAGCAGCGCTACACCAAAAACGCCGACTGGACGTACATTAGCGAGTGCGTCGAGGAGGCGAAAAGACTGATCGAAGATGAAAATGGTCAATCTCGCCCCTCGATCCCCGTCTTCGGCTCCGGTGACGTGCTCTCCCACGAGGACTACTACCACCGAATGGAGTCGACGCCCGGCCTGGCCGGCGTCATGATCGCCCGCGGCGCCCTCATCAAGCCCTGGCTCTTCACGGAGATCAAGGAGCGCCGCACCTGGGACATCGCCGCCTCCGAGCGCCTTGACCTGTTTCGAAAGTACACCAACTACGGCCTGGAAAACTGGGGCAGCGACTCGGCAGGCGTGGAGAAGACACGCCGCTTTCTCCTCGAGTGGCTCTCCTTCGCACATCGCTACATTCCGGTGGGCTNCTGCTTCGAAAGTACACCAACTACGGCCTCGAAAACTGGGGCAGTGACTCGGCAGGCGTGGAGAAGACACGCCGCTTTCTCCTCGAGTGGCTCTCCTTTGCACATCGCTACATTCCGGTGGGCCTGTTGGAGCGCCTGCCGCAGCGCATCAACGACCGCCCGCCCCGTTTCGTCGGCCGCAGCGACCTGGAGACGCTGCTGAGCAGTGGCAGCGTCAAGGACTGGATCGCCATCTCCGAGATGTTGCTCGGCCCCGTCCCCGCCGACTTTAGCTTCATTCCCAAGCACAAAGCTAATGCATACTGAACTGTGGAACTACTGTGAATATGAATACAAAGTTAACACTCACTCACTGAAGTAATTATTACTCTTTTTGAGGCGAACTCTAGAGGGTACAGTGAGTGGTGATGATGGTGTGGTGATCAGATCAATTCATATGGCGGAAAATATGACATGAGGGGGTGATGGAAGGGGAGGAGGAAGTGCAAGTGACCTTGGTTTGTCTACATGATCGAGCTCATCTGCAAGAGAATTTAAAGAACTTAAACAATAATACTCTAACAACAGCAGTCCAGTCAGAGAAAAGTGGGCGTGAGTGAAAGGAGAGGCATGGTCAAATGGAAGATCGAAGTGTGAGAGAGCAAAGAACTAGAGAGACCTAGAGCAAGAAAAGCCCAAAGCTGACTGACTGACTGTCAGCTGAAGTAATCACCCAACTTCAGTCATCAGAGGAGGAAGAGGGCGGCCGTGCGCTGAAGATGGCCTCAATCTCGGTGAGGGACTTGCCCTTCGTCTCGGGCATGGCCACCGCCCCGAAGAGGCCGCACAGCAGGCAGATGGCACTGAAGATGAGGTAGATGTAGTAGAGGTTGATGTAGTTGAGGAAGATCGTCAGGATGATGAAGGCGCACAGCCAGTTGAAGGCGGCGGCGATGATCGAGGCGATGTTCTTTACCCTGAAGGGCAGCATCTCCTGCGAAAAAGGAGATTAGAATAGAAGGAAAAAAAATATAGTTAGGCACTTACCCCCAAAATGAGCCATGGCACAGGGCCCAGCCCCAGACTGAAGAAGATGATGAAGAGGGTGACGGAGAGGATGGGAATCCACCCATAGCTCTGGTTGAACTGATCACTGTTCTTCACCGAGCTGAGGTAGTCAAAGATGGTCAGCGGAATGAGACTGAGACCGGTGCCTAGGCCGGAGATGATGGTCAGCATCTTCCGGCCACATCTGCTTGTTCAGGAAAAGAATAAACAAAATTAACAACCTCCTTAAATGCCCATCTAAAAAGCACCACGTACCTATCGCAGAGAAAGCAGGCGACCAGCGTGGCGGCCACCTGAATGAAGCCGGTGATGATGGCCGCGTCGGGCGGACTGACCGTCTCAAATTTGGTCCGCTGGAAGATGGAGTTCATCGAGGTGATGATGCAGTTGACGCCGCAGAACTGCTGAAAGAACATCAGCGAAATGCTGATCAGCAGCGGGCGGTAGTACTGAGAGTGACGGACCAGCAGGCGCAGCTGCGTGCCCAGACCGCCCTCTCCGTCGTCCGCCATTTCATCGCCCCCTCTTCCACCTCCTTCGGTGACCGAGTTTCCACCACCACCGGCACCCTCCGGCGGCCCGCTGAGCATCGTCGGCCCGGACATGTCCACGGCCAGCCGGCGCGACCCTTCTGCGCCGTGCAGAAAGAGATTCGCTTCTGTCGCCTCTGCGATTCGACCTTTTCTCAGCAGCCAGGCGGGCGACTCCGGCACGCAGAGAATCGACAGCAGACAGAGAAAGGGCGGCGCAGTCATCAGCAGCGCCAGGTCTGCCCAGTTCAGGTACTTCCCCAGGACGTAGGTCATGACGATGCCAAAGGTGCAACTTAGCTGGTAGCCCGACCCGTAGAAACCCCGCTTTTCGGGATCAGCCGTCTCTGCGATGTACATCGGCGCGGTGAGGGAGACCAGCCCGCAGCAGTAGCCGGTGAGGAAGCGGCCGATCATCAGCGACCAGAGGCTGTCCAGGTAGCCAGAACAGGCCATCAGCGCCCAGCCGGTGATGAAGGGCAGCGAGGTGAAGATGAGCGTCCCCTTCCGACCGAAAGACTCGTTGAAGAAACCTAGAAGGAAGAGGTTTTCTGGTTAGAAAATATGTTCGAAAATAGAACTCAAAGTTTCGTACCGGCGCAGACGCAGCCGATAACGGCGCCAAGCGCCATCAGACTGACGAAGAAAGACCGGAGAAAGCCCTCCAGGTGCAGGTGAGAGCCGAGGTCGTCGAGGCTGGGCAGCGCCGGTGAGGAGTAGCCCAGAACGGTCCCGGTGGCAAAGGAGCTGACCCAGGCACTCAGCACCGGAAAAATGTACTTGGCCGTGCGGTGGTGCTGGTCCTCGATCAGCAGCGTCGTGTCGGCCATGGCTTCGCTCTGGAGAAGGAGTTTGGTGTTAAGAATTTGATGGTTTTGCTGCTTTTTTGGTGAGATCTTCAGGAGAAAGAGAACATTTGAGCAGTGCACACTGACACTGGACACACTGATGTCCTCCCTGTTTGGTGCTAGTTTGCAAATGCTATGCAAATACTGCAGTAAACTGCACAAGTTGGTTGACAGATTAGCTGGAGTGAACGCACAATCACCAACACTGATGATGATGGTGGTGTCAGTGGTAGTGTCAGTGGTGGGCAGTCAATCGAACCGATAGTTGTTGTTGTTGTGCTGCTGCGGATGATGGTGGTGCCAGTCTGATGAATTGCAGCAGCAGTGAAAGGCACCTCTTTCGAAACGAGTTGTGCCGATGCCGATGATGCTAATGTTGATTCGGCAGCTGATGCTGCTGCTGATGATCATGTGATGGTGTGTCAGTTGTGTTGTGGCTGATGCTTGTATTCTTGACACCGTACCACCAAAAGTGAGGATTAGTGGGCGACTCTTCAGTGGAGTTGTCCTTCCGGTGTGCTAGTGACTCAAAGAAGGTGACCAAGTCCGCAGACAAAGCTTTGTCTTTCTTGAGAGCCTGACACGGAGGGAGTCCCTCGCTCTCTCAGTGAAGTCGTAGTAGTTTGCTTCAGCAGCAGCAGAAGCAGTGGCCGATGTGTGTCCTCTCCTTTGTAGCTTTCTACACTGCAGTTGTAGTTGTTTGCTATCTATTCCACTTCTTTCTCCTTCTTTCTCTGTTGTTGGCGGTGGCGTTTTCGTCTGTTTTGGTACGCTCTCAGTGTCAGCAGGCCGTCTGTACAAGACCGGGCAGCAGATGGAGAGACTGTTTGCTTATTCAGAGGCCACCATTTCAAAATAAAATAAAAGGAAAAAGAGGACAGCGGTGCGAAGGGGCAAATGTTCAAAATGGAAAAGGGGGCTTCTACCGAGATGACTGCTGCTTCTGCTGATTACAGTTTGTGATATTGCAAACAAAACAAAATCAAGGCGCCATCGATGGAAGAGCAGATAAAAATCAGGCTTTTTTATGCATGCTTCCCTTATATCAAAGGATCAGCATAATGAATAGCTGAAAAAGAAAGATAGATTCTGCTGCTTCTAAAATTAAAGAAGCTCAGCTAAGCAATATGCGCGACCCCCTGTGTCAATGTCGAGCTCCATTCTTCTTCTTCATCTTTGAATAAAAAAGAAAACAAATAGAGGGGATCCCCAGCTTAATCTTTAGAGGAAGGAAGTGAGCAACTACTACAAAACTTCAATCACGCCTATTAATAGACGCCTACTACATTCGAGTTCTGTGGGGTTTGGGAGTTGCTGCCTCAGTGGAAACGAGAATAATAAATCTGCTGCAAAGCAGAGAGGAAACGAAACTGCCGAATGACTTGGTGGTGGTGGAATTAAATCAGCTCAATATAAACAAGCCGAGCTAATTATAGTGGCACTTTAAATAAAGACGAAGACGACCACTGTGGTCGCGTGTCGGCGGCAGCGGCAGCAGAATCTCGCCGATCATCAGCAGACCATCACTAGCATCAGCAGCAGTATGATGATCATCAATGTGGTCGATGTGAATGACTGCTTGGAAAGTAAACAATGCACAGCAGAGCAACCTCTCACTCTGCCTTCTAAGCAAATGGTGAAGATGAAAAAAAGCCACTGAAGGCATTTGCAAAAAGCCTGTG